TAGAAGAAAAACACCCCCAAAGAAGAATGTTTCTACCACCTTGTTTGACAGTTGGGATAGTGTTCTTGGGGTCATAGGCAGCATTCCTCCTCCTCCGAACATGGCGAGTTGAGTTGATGCCAAAGAGCTCGATTTTGGTCTCATCTGACCACAACACTTTCAACCAGTCCTCCTCTGCATCATTCAGATGTTCAGTGGCAAACGTCAGACAGGCCTGGACATGTGCTTTCTTGAGCAGAGGGAACTTGCGGGCACTGCAGGATTTCAGTCCTTGTCAGCGTAGTGTGTTACCAATTGTTTTCTTGGTGACTGTGGACCCAGCTGCCTGGAGATCATTGACAAGATCCTCACGTGTAGTTCTGGGGTGATTCCTCACTGTTCTCATGATCATTGACACTCCACGAGGGGAGATCTTGCATGGTGCACCAGACCTAGGGAGACTGACAGTTGTTTTGTGTTTCTTCCATTTGCGAATGATTGCACCAACTGTTGTCACCTTCTCACCAAGCTGCTTGGCGATAGTTTGGTAGCCCAGTCCAGCCTTGTGTAGGTCTACAATCTTGTCCCTGACATCCTTGAACAGCTCTTTGGTCTTTGCCATGGTGGAGAGTTTGGAATCTGATTGTTTGATTGCTTCTGTGGACAGGTGTCTTTTATACAGATACCAAAATGAAATTAGCAGCACTCCCTTTAAGGGACTGCTTCTAATCTGAGCTTGCTACCTGTATGAAACACACCTGGTAGCTAGAAATCCTGCTGAATAATAGGGGATCAAATACTTATTTCCCTCATGAACATGCAAATCAGTGAATCTTTTTAATGTTTTGTTGCTATTCTGTCTCTCGGTGTTACAATACACCTACCATTTGATTTTTAGACTGATCCTTTCTTTGTGAGGGGGCAAACATTCACAATCAGCAGGGGATCAAATACTTATTTCCTTCACTGTGTCACTAGCACATTCGCGTATTTCATGATTCAGCTTCTAATAGCCCTGGCTGGCAGGATATTAGATATTATGCCATGAATGCCTGACTCTCATTAAATTTAACTTAAACAAATCTCTCCTCTGGTGAGGATTTGTCCAGCACAGCAAGGTTAATAAATGCAACACTCAATGGACTCTTGTCTGGAAAGGTACAGGAACCAAAGAAACTCTGCCGGTGTGCATGCATGTGCACGGTGCACGTTGGCACCAGGCAGGCTATTTAAACTAGTACCTGATGCTAGTGCCATTTGGTCTACTTACTTCCTGAAGCATCTGCTCAACTGTTCCTTGATTGCTCTTCTGTTGCCAACCTGATCTGCTCCTGACCTTGCCTGAACATTACCTGCACCGACCCCTGGCTTGTACCTGGACTACGATTCTGTCTCATACTCCTGCTCTTCTGCCTTGCTGTTACTGACCTGTCTTTTAAAGACTCTTCTACCTGCCAGCTGCTGACCTTTGCTGTCTGACCCTGCCTCTGTTCTTCCTGCTGTACCTAAGCCAGATGACCTGTGCCTGTGTCCAGCCATATTTGGCCATTTCGACCACCCAACAAAATTTGCAGCTGATGTAGCAGGAAGCCCATCATCTTGCACAGGTATCACTACTGTTGCTATATGATATGATAGATTTCCAGCAACTCTTTGTAAATAAGCTGGCGGGAATCCTAGGTGATGTCACTGACCAAATATAGTCATGACCATAGTCGGTCAATGATATCACCTGCTTCTGTGTTTGAATTCCAGCAGTGCTGAAGATGTGTCATTTTCAATGGGAGTAGCAGCATTGGAAGATCATCAGGCATGGCTGGTCATCATGTGGATGGGTCATCAGATTGTCAGGTGGCACCTATTGTGATTGTTGTGGCAATGAATAACTGACATTAGATTTAGATGTAGGTGGGCATTGTGTATTTTTTTAAATAAAGGACTTTTGTATTTTTAATGCGTTTTTATTAGATTATAAAATTATAAACACTCCATAGCGCAAATAAAAATTTATGAAGTTTGTGTTATATATATTTTTGTCACACATTTTTGGGACACTGGACTTTAATTTGGGACTTTTGCTTGTTGGACATATATATAATTTTTCACATCTTTTATTATTTGTATTATTTGTGCTATGTCACCTTATGAGTATATTTTTTAATAATACACTGTGACCAGAGTAGTATAATGTTACCATAGTAATATTGTATTATTTTGGGTAAAGTATCAGTATTTTCTTTTTTTTTTTAACACATTATGATTGCTTACAGCAAATAATTTATTTGCTATAAGCAAACTTTTAACTGAATTAAATTGATTAATTCAGGTTACTTTGTTGTGATTAGCTGTGATTGGCCACAGCTACTCACATGACACAGATGGGCTGTAATTGGCCCATTCTGTACACGTGATCACTGTGAGCAATCACAGCTTGTGACACAATGTTATACAATGGATGGCATGAAAGGAAGCCATCCATTGTTTACAATTGTCATGTGACCTGCTGTCATTGGTCACAGCAGGTCACATGGTACTGGCAACATACACAGATCTGTCATCAGCTGTGTCCGAGGTATGCAGCCGGTGACAGATCTCACCACAGTGCAGCCCCGCAGGCACAAACAAAAATGGCCTCCATGGAAGAGTTCTAAGGCAAAAGCCACTGCTGACCAAGAAGAACAAAAAAGCCTCTTCTCACATTTGGCAAAAAACATCTTGAATATCCCCAAGACTTTTGGGCAAATATTCTGTAGACTGATTAGACAAAAGTTGAACTTTTTTGAAGGTGCGTGCATCCCAGTACATCTAGCGTAAAACTAACACCGCATTTCATAAAAAGAACATCATACCAACAGTCAAACATGGTGGTTGTAGTGTGATGGTCTGGGGCTGCTTTGCAGGATCAGGACCTGGAAGACTTGCCATAATTGATGGAACCATGCATTCTGTGCTCTCTCAGAAAATCCTGAAGGAGAATGTTCAGCAATCAGTTTGTGACCTCAAGCTCAAGCGCAATTGGGTTAAACAGCAGGACAATGATCCGAAACATACCCACAAGTCCACCTCTGAATGGCTACAAAAAAACACATTTTTGGAGAGACCTAGTCAAAGTCCAGAATTAAATCTTATTGAGATGCTGTGGCATGACCTCAAACTGTCCTTTGATGTTTGAAAACCCTCCAATGTGGCTAAATTAAAACAATTCTGCAAAGAAAAGTGGGCCAAAACTCCTCCACAACGATGTGAAAGACTGATTGCTAGTTATTGTAAATGCTTGATTGCAGTTGTTGCCACCAAGGGTGGCACATCTAGTTATTAGGTTTAGGAGGCAATTACTTTTTCACACAGGGCCAGGCAGGTTTGGACAGATTTTTTCCCTTAATAAATAAAATCATAATTTAAAAACTGCATTTTGTATTCGGGTTATCTTTGTATAATATTAAAATTTGTTTGATGATCTGAATCATTTAAAGGAGAAGTATAACCAAAGCTTTTTTGGCTGTACTTCTCCTGTGAATCACAGGAGTACAGTTTGTTCTGCACTCCTGTGACTCGTTTTTAGCTGACAGTGGACTGAAATCCGCTGTCAGCTGATGTCGCTCAGCCAGTCCATGCTGGGGAAAGATCCCGACTTCAAAATCGGGATCTACCCCAGAGTCCGGAACGGCACCTGGCTCAGCCTTTCAGCGAAGCACTGGGATCCTGAGTCAGCCACTCCATCCCCCTACACAGCCCAGCACTCCAGTGAGCACTGGGGGGGGGGGGGCAAAGAGCAGAAAGCGATGACTGACAGTCCCACTCTCTGCTCAGAGCAGCTGGGAGAACTCAGTGATCATGTCATTGCTGAGTTCTCGCCCCTTAGAGCTGGTGAAGGACAGATGCAGCATTGGATCGATGCTGCATCCACCTAGGTAAGTATAAATAGGGGTAAAAAATCCCTTCATTTCTTTTAAGTGTGACAAATATAACACAGCACTGTATAAATTTAGTAAAAGCTTTAAAAGTACAAAACTGTGCAGAGTTATACAATACAAATATGTAATAATAGTTAATTATAATAACAACTGTGGCTCTCATTTATCTACAATGAGATACCAAACACAAATATTTGAACTATAATACTTCTAGTGTTGGTGGGGCCAAAGGTGCAGAGCAGACTGTATTTATATAGAGATACACATTATTTTTTTATTTATTTTATTTTTTTCTAAATACGAGAGATATGTTTTACTTTTTTTTTTTTTTTTTTTTTTAATAAGAGATAAGATAAGATACATTGTCATTTTAGAAAAATATTCCTAACCATAATAATAAAACTGCCATTTACCATACATAATTTATTATACCAAAATATTAAAAACTTTCCCACAAATTAAAAATGAAACAACATTCTACGCATGAAGGTGTGCAGCAGCCCTTCCCCCAGCCCCCAATAGTTACCTGAGCCCCATCTCATGCAGCGATGTCCTGGCTGTCCTGGGTCTCTTCCTCCTCATTAGGTGAGACAGCAGAGGGAACCATTGGATCCTGCTATTGTCAATCACAGCCAGTGAGCCAGAAGAGAACTAGTCTGAGCTATGTCTGTGTGTGAATGGATACACAGAGCAGAGACTCGGCAGTGATCCTGCTCAGGTTCCCCATTAGCAAACTGCTTGCTATTGAGGCACTTGGCAGGAAGGAAGGGCCAGGAGTGCCAATGGGGGACCCGAGAAGAGGAGGACCAGGGCTGGTCTATGCAAAACCATTGTACAGAGGTAAGTATGACATGTTTGTTATTTTTTAAACAAATCTGCCTTTACAATCAATTTCAAATTATTAGATTTTTATTTCATCATATTTTACACGTCTAGTTCAGTTAAGAGCAATTTTTGTTTCGAATAAAATTCACAAACCAAAGTTTGTAAAAAGAACTGTTCAAGACTTTTTTCAGGTCTTTATTCCTTAAAGTGTATATAAGAGGATTTACCAGTGGAGTGACTACAGTATAGGACAGTGATAAGTATTTAGTAATGTTCTCCGACTGTCCTCCACTGGGTACCAAATAAACAAAGGCTAGGTTTCCATAATAGACACAGACAACAGTCAGGTGGGAACTACATGTAGAGAAAACCTGCTTCCTTCCAGTAATAGATGGGATTTTAAGAATGGTGACTATGATAATAATATAAGATACAATGATAATGAAAAATGGAATGACACCAAAGAAAAAAGTTATCAACGTTGCTTCTAGTTCAATAATTGCAGTACTGGAACAGGAAAGCTTAAGAACTGGAACAAGGTCACAAAAATAGTGGTCAATAATGTTGGGACCACAAAATTGCAATTGAGATATATTAAAAGTATGCACCACCACCATTACAAAACTTAACGTCCAACATGTAATAATCAAAATACAGCAACAGCGGGGGTTCATTATCAAACTATAATGTAATGGTTTACAGATGGCCAAATATCTGTCATAAGACATATCAGTTAGAAGGAGACACTCCAATATTAACATAGCACAACAGAAATAAAACTGGGAGAGGCAATCAGAAAACGACATAATGGTATCGTTCATCAAAACTGTTCGGAACGTGTTAGGAAGAATATCAGTTGCCTGTATGATATCTGACATAGCGAGCTGGGAGAGGAAGATGTACATGGGAGACTGGAGGGTTTTACTGTAGGACACCAATGAGATAATCAGGAGGTTTCCACAAAGTGTAACACAATAAAGCATAAGCAAAATAAAAAACACCAAACATTTAACATTGTGTGGGGTCTGAAATCCTAAGAGATGGATTGTGGAAATTCTGGTCACATTGCTTTCCCCCATAACCTGAAGACAGAATATTAAAATTACTTGGTAACATTTGTGAAACAGCTTCAAAGACAACGAGAACTGATTCTAGGAAAGAGAGAAAGGATGTTTAAAAAACTTAGAAAACTGTAAATGTTGGTCCTTTAAATGCTTTTCTAATCATGCTGGGCGCTGTGGCTTTTATAAAGAAACAGAATGAGTTGCATGGAACCACTGGGGATCTATACCAGTAATATTCTTATGGGACTATATTATCATTAATATTTAGAGAAAACATTAATGAGGTTAGAGATGGAAGATTAGCAATTAGCAATTTAGAAATACTTTTAAGAAAAATATACAGATTCATGAAAAAATTTTTTTTTCTTCAATTAACTTACCCTAAATTGTATTTGTACTGTTACCTAATCATTTCACAGTGGCATTTTGTTTATGAATATTATTATTATTATTATTTATTATTATTATTAATAATAATAATAACACCCAGATGCTTCCTTCAGCCTTTTCATGTAGCACTGCCTACCACTGATTTATGTGTTATATACAGTCTGATCACGATGCTCTTATGGCATAGCTAAGGAGTAGCAAGAACTGGGTGGGGGCATGCATGAAGCCATCTGAGCAAGACATGCTTGCTGAGAGCTTCACACCTTCTGAGACTAAACAGCCATGCAGCAACACTTCCCAACCCACTCACTTCTACCTACCACCTTCACATACTGCTGGGAACTACTAGCACCAACCGCGATGGTCTACTGCAGCTCCAAACAAAAACTCAAGCCAAAATCAATCTGGGACAGGCTGGTCAAGGCCTCCTCCAAAATGGTGGATCCGCCATCTTCCTGGCCTTACATCCCATGCTCTTTTAAACAGACCAAGATTGCAACTGCAATGAATCCCTTAGCTTTACAGTTTGACAACTTACAGTCTGACCTACTCAAGCGGATGCTTACAAAGGCCCTAAAAAGCACCCCAGACACCAACGAGCAGATTATTTTGATGTCCCCACTAGCAACCATTCAGAGGAACTTGAGGCCCTGCATGAGGAAAACAATACCCTCCAGGCCTGCCTAGAGGATTTTGATAACAGGGTTAGACATTCAAACCTGCGTATCTGCGGGATACCTGAAACAGTGATAGATCTCCAATCCACCATTACTGCGCTCTTTCAGGAACTTTCACCATCGATACCAATAGAGCTCCTTGAAATGAATAGAATCCACAGAACCCTGGCTCCACATCCAAAAGATGGCCTTCCCTGTGATATTGTGGTAAAACTCCACTTCTACTAATACTAATGATGTCCCGCCAAAAGGAGATTGTGGTTTTCCCAGGTCACTGCTACTAAACTTTTCATGACCTCTCGCAACTTACTCTAACCAAACAGAATGCCATGAAACTTTGTCTGCAAATATTGCAGCAACACCATATCATCTTTTGTTGGGGCTTACCCTTCTTAGTACGCTTCTCCTATAAGGGATCCTCCTATCTTTGCAAGTCAGCCAAAGATCTCCAAATCACACTTCAAGATCTCCATTTTGCACCTTCAGAGGCCATTACTGAGGGTTCCCAGTGTCGAGCAGCTTCCTGCTCCCCTAAGAAGCTGCAAGCCACCTCAGGAACCAAGACTCACCCCAACACCCACAAGAGAGGCCGTTACACCTCACCTGCACCTGACCCCACAAATTCCATGGACTGACAGCGCCCACATAGTTGCATGAAGCTTTTTCCTATCTATTATGTTTCTACACTTGCTCTCCTAGGGAACATGATCCAGACTTCTACAACACTGTAAATATGCAGTTTTTATGTTTTCACAGAAGGACGCTGCTATGTACTTCCACAAAACTAGTGTTAAACTTCATTAGCCTTCTTGTTTCCCTTCCATAATTTATTTAACCCAGAAGCCTGTCATAAGAAGGGTGTGTATCAGCCAAGAGTTGCTTCAATGTATAGAGAAACATCTCCTTCATAAGCGTCTAGAAGAATCTTGCTACAAGGCTTCGAAAGCCTTCCAAATTTTACCTTCCCTGATGATTAAAAGGGACCTTGAAAAAATGTGCATGGAACTTGACCTCTTTCTGACATAGTCGGCAGAAAAAGCTCTCCGCAAATCTTAACACATAAACAGGGGTGGACTGACACCTCATGGGGCCCCCGGACAATAAGGGATCATGGGGCCTCTGAGTCCTCGCCCACACTCAAACCACACCCAAAAAAGCATATGAAAGGTACCAGGGGCATCTCATGGGGCCCCCTATTGACCCCGGGCCTTCGGGCAGTGCCCGAGTTCTCGAATGGTCAGTCCGCCCCTGCACATAAACTATATGAAATCAAAAAAACTGGACACATTTCTAGCCTTGGCACTTTGCAAAGCTGATTACACCACAAGCTTGTGAGGTTGAAACTGTCCAAGGACACTTACTCTAGCAATCCCAGCAAAATTCAACAAGAATTGCGTAGATGCCTTGGCGACCTCTACAAGGATCCTAATGCATTTAACAAAATTAGTATGGACAACCTCTTCTCCTCCATCCAGCTTCCCTTTCTTTCATTCTGCCAGCAAGATAACCTGGAATGGCCTATTATGGCCAAAGAAATTCAAACGGCAATTCAAGCCCTGAAGCCACATAGGCATGATGGCCTATCAGCAACCTATTGCAAGAAGACTGACAAACTTCTTGTTCCCCTGCTAGTCCAGGCTTACAATTCGCTTCTTGATGGCCACTCCTTTCAAGAGGAGACATTAATGGCAGCTATCTAATGATCCCTAAGCAACATACTGACTACACTACATGGTTTAATTACAGACCAATATCAATACTTAATTTTGATATCAAAATCCTAGCAAAAGTCTTAGCAAGCTGCCTCAACCCACTTGTTGGCATTCTAGTTCACAAGGACCAAGTTGAGTTTATCCTTTCTCATCAAGCAGGTGACAATTTACACTAATTATCATGCCTGGCCCATACAGCTCAAGCCCGTCATATTCCTGCCTGCTTTCTTTCCTTAGATATATGCAATGTCTTTGACATGCTCTCATGGTTTTATCGACACTCTTACCTACACATCTTATGCCGCTGGGGATCCCAGCATGGGACAACCCAAAGACCCTGTGTGCTCTTTCAGCAACATACGACATGGTCAAAACTTCACTGAGATCCAGAAAATCTTTAAAGAATGTGTGAAATCTGCAGAATGATCCCCTTCAGTATCCTCAGAGAACCAGAAGATCCAAGTATTATTTCAGTGGGAGTGGTTCTCGGTATAATCCACTTTATCCAAAAGGAATTAGATCATGTTCTGCAACTCAGAGATCATGGTTCTATGTTGTTCAGTGCGATCCTCACAGAAATGTGGGCTTCTGACCCCCTTATCTTATTAGTTCCTGATAAGATTACTTTCCTCTGCTAAATGATCAATCCGGACCAGATATGAAGTTTTACTCCATGTTTCATGTCAGCAAATATCAAAGAGATGTCATCTGTCTGTGACTGGTTTGAAGGCTGTGTTGGGAATTCCAGAGCTTTGGTAGCCTCCATGTCAGTGAAGAGCGCCTGCAACATTCTCAGGAAGATGGTTTTGGGACATGGCACCATAGGTGGGGTTGCTGCCTATCCCTTGTGAGACTGTGTGGCGGGGGAGCACTGAAGTCACTATGACAAGCTTGGGTACACACAGGCTTCAAATCACATGCGATTCTTTGCAGTTCATTTAATTTGGGCTCAAATTGCATTGCAAAGGTATTGGTTTTAGGTATCAAAGCAATTGCTCTAGTACAAGTACTTAGTATCGGCACCAATACCGGTATCATTATCAGTGCAACCCTAGAAATAAGGGCTCTGACACTATGGTTGCATGCTTCTTGCATACTTCTGGCCTGTGTCTCACTAGGTGGATGAGTAGGATAAGGTGAAAGCAAGTTAGCAATGGCAGCCACCATGTTTCTGTTCTCAAATCAGTTGGACAAATCAGTTTCAAATCAGTTGGACTCACAATTGCCCACCCTCTCATGGGAGACGGAGAGATATTTTACTCTTCCTTCCTTCTATATGTCGCTGCCCTTACACTTCTAAACTTTATCTTGGTTTTCTTCTAAATTTACCAAACTGCCATCCCTGCACCCCATCCACATCCTCTACCTTCTTCTTCCCACACCCTCCCCTATTGCCTTACCCTCCTGGCCTGTCCCCTAACAAAACTCCCTCCTCCCCTCCCCCCTTCGTTCTTCTCTCCTAGCTCCTTCCCCCCAAATTGTTTCCTGTTTACCCCACTCCTTATCCAACCATGATGACATAAGTCCTAACTTATCAGACAGACAATGAGGCCCAATATACATATGCACATTTATCCCATCTTCTATCTGATTCTCTTCTTGAAAACCATAGCTAAGGTAGCGATTACCCCCTTAAAGGCCGCTGAATTTGATGTTTCCCCCATTGTTTTTATTAAGGGTTAACAACTTGTATGGGGTCTAGGGGTATATGGGATGCCCACAGAACTGTAAACCTGAGGACAAGTTATTAGCAAACACTGTACAAAAATGTGGACCAAAAAGTAGCAACTGTCTCTTTAAGGAGCACTGTTCCCTTTGGTGTACCTCCTCAGATCCCTAGGAGACTTGTATTACAGTGGAGGTCCTTTCATTCAGCACCAGCCTGTAGGTAGGCTCCCATATATGGGGCCCCCTTCCAGGTTCAACACTTCAGGACCTTATCTCAGTCTATCTTCCACCCAAACCCAACAACTCCTACTGCTGCACAGGCTCTAGGATCCATGCCCAGCCTCCTGCCTAGTGATTTGCTAAGTGTCCCTAAACATGCAAACCCAGGCTTCCTCCCCTCCTCAGTCCCTCTTCCAGAACGCCCCTCCAGTTTATAGAAGGGTGGAAGTGTTCCAGAAGCCCTGACATGTAAAATCTCCCAGCCTGTCTTGAGGTGACCTCTCTACCTCATTGCCAAGCTGACTCATGAGAGGTTTCTAACAATCCTCTCACAAAAATAAAAAATCCCATCTAGCTAAATCTAGAGGGTACTACATTACCTTGATGGTACATGTTATTTATTCATATTTTTGTTTCCACTTTAAAAGAGGCAATTCTCATGATTCAAACTAGGGCACCTCCTGAAAAATCTTATTAGAGGCTTAAAGTGTTACTAAACCCAGGACCCTTAATTCTAGTGAAGGCAACTCTTAAGGCGTCAGCATATCAAGACATTTTGGACAATTTCATGCTCCCAACTTTTTGGAAACAGTTTGGGGATGGCCCCTTCTTATTCCAACATGACTGCACACCAGTGCACAGAGCAAGGTCCATAAAGACATGGATGAGTGAGTTTGGGGAGGAAGAACTTGACTGGCCTGCACAGAGTCTTGACCTCAACCTGATAGAACACCTTTGGGATGAATTAGAGCTGAGACTGTGAGCCAGGCCTCCTCCCCCGACATCAGTGCCTGACTTCACAAATGTGCTTCTGGAAGAATGGTCAAACCTTCCTATAGACACCCTCCTAGACCTTGTGGATAGTCTTCCCAGAGCAGTGGAAGCTGTTATAGCTGCAAAGGGCGGGGGGCCAACTCAATATTGAACCTTATGGAATAAGACTGAGATGCCATTAAATTGAATGTGCATGGAAAGGCAGGCATCTCAATACTTTTAGCAATATAGTGTATGTAATAAGATTCTCATTATACGCTTACAGACCATATTCCTCCATGTCTCATTGATATTTTGTTACTCTTGTTATAAAACCTCAATAAAAGTCTTGCAAAAGAAAAGAAAAACTACTGATTCAAATGTGTACTGTAGTTTCTGAAATATTATCAATAAAGGTCATTGGCTTTATCTTTTAGAAGGATAGGCACACTGCCTGGTCTTCTAAAATTAAAAAATATATATTTAACAAAATGATAATTAGAATAAAAATCCCTATACATTAGTTTTAATGGATCCCAGGAAAATATTACCAACACTTCTCATTCCCAGTTGAGTTATACATCATGTTCTGTTTACCTATAAAAACAACCATATTATGTGTAATCATACATGTGAATATTGAAAGGAAAAATGGTTAAGACCTTTGCAGAACTATTACAGTATGTTTTGTATCATATAAAAAGAACCAGCTTTGAAAGCAGTATGTAAGGAAGGATCATTTAAAAAAAAAAAACACAACGTAAGATTTCAGACTGCTGTCCAGCTTGCACTGCTATCCAGAAAAACAAAGTGCCATGTTAATGTGTTTTATTACAGTTACATGATAGTTTATGTTTTTGGAGGTTTTTTTGAGATGTGCAAAGAAAGATCACACAGACTCTTGCAGGTAAATTAAAACTATATATAACATTTAATGAAGAAATGACACATAGAGATAACAAAAGTAATAATAATGAAAAATGTAACAAGAAACAGCTATAGATGCCATTTGCTAAGGAGTCCAACCTACTTTTTTTATGGCTTAGAGCAGCAATGGGCAAACTACAGCCCGCGGGCCGTATACGGCCCGGCAGACCTTTTAATCCGGCCCGCGGAGCGTGATACATTGGCTGTCAGGATGTGTGTAGGCGGGGCAGCGTGACGAACGTGAGGGGAGCTAGGCTCCTCTCACAGTCCGCCCTGAAGACCAGAACGGCGCGGGAACACGGCGAGAGGAACGCGCGGAGCAAAGGTAAGTGAATTGACACAGGGGGGACTTGGCTTACTACTTGGGGGGGAATAGTACTGTGGGGGATGAAATACTATATGAGGGATAAATTAATATGGGGGATGAATTAATATGGGGGATGAATTAATATGGGGGATGAATTACTATGTGGGGGATGAATTACTATGGGGGATGAATTACTATATGGGGGGTGAATTACTATATGGGGGATGAATTACTATGGGGGATGAATTACTATATGGGGGATGAATTACTATGGGGGATGAATTACTATATGGGGGATGAATTACTATATGGGGGATGAATTACTATGGGGGATGAATTACTATATGGGGGATTAATTACTATGGGGGATGAATTACTATGGGGGATGAATTACTATATGGGGGATGAATTACTATGGGGGATGAATTACTATATGGGGGATGAATTTACTATATGGGGGATGAATTACTATGGGGGATGAATTACTATATGGGGGATGAATTACTACTATATGGGGGATTAATTACTATATGGGGGATGAATTTACTATATGGGGGATGAATTACTATGGGGGATGAATTACTATGGGGGATGAATTACTATATGGGGGATGAATTACTATATGGGGGATGAATTACTATGGGGGATGAATTACTATATGGGGGATTAATTACTATGCTTACTATGGGGGAATATTTTACTATACTTACTATGGATGACACATACACATCATTCATCTACTCTTGGTCCGGCCCCCGGGTCCAATATATGAACCCATTGCGGCCCTCAAGTCAAAAAGTTTGCCCACCCCTGGCTTAGAGGATGATAAAACCACGTATGCATATCACAGCCCTGGTAAAAGACTAACTTGCTCTAATGTTGGCTCTTGTATATACAGGAGTAATTGGTAATATTGACCAATTGTAACCCCTAGAAAGTAGCATTAGCTTTTAAGGAAGATGGCAGATTTTTCTTCAGTTGGTCAGTTCATATTAATACCATTCCTGTAGCATTAGGTCATTAAAAAAAAAACATCCCTGTACCAGGCTTGAGATGCATTCTTATGTATTATTGATCTATAAAAAAGAATTATGAAATTTCTCCATCATACTAGTGACATACTGCATTCCATCTTAAGCCACAATAAGGAACAAATAATTTTGACCATCCAGTGAAGGCTACAATACTCAGATTGGTTTCTTTTTATTATTTTTTTTAAGGCTATGTATGAGAAAAATATAACCGGAATCACCATGGTCCACTTCATAGGATTTAAAACCCATCAAAGTGTACAACATTTGATTTTTTTAATTTTATTTATGGTTTATTGTGTGACCATATGCGGGAACCTCCTGATCATCACCTTAGTGTCCTATGGCAAAACCCTCCATTCTCCAATGTACTTCTTCCTCTCTCAGCTGTCTCTATCGGATATTTTAATAGTTACTGATATTCTTCCCAACACGCTCCATGCTGTTTTAGTTGAGGAGGCCATGATATCATTTTCTGGTTGCATCATTCAGTTCTATTTCTTTGCAGTTTCAGAAGTTTTGCAGTGTTTTCTTCTGACGGCGATGGCTTTTGACAGATATTTGGCCATCTGTAAACCTTTGCATTATACTTTGATAATGAGCCACCAGGTATGCTGGATGATAGTTACCACATTTTGGATTTTAAGCATGTTAATAGAACTGATTTTTGCTTTAAGGATATCAAAATTACAATTTTGTGGTCCCAATATAGTTGATCACTTTTTCTGTGACTTTCATCCAATTGTAGACCTCTCTTGCTTTGATACCACCAGTGTTGAGCTTGAAGTGAACTTGGTGGGTGCTGTTGTAGTTGTCATTCCTTTCACGGTTATCATTGTATCCTATATTTATATCATTGTCACCATTTTTAACATCCCATCTATAACTGGTAGACAAAAGGTTTTCTCAACCTGCAGTTCCCACTTGACTGTTGTTTCCATCTATTATGGTACAATGGTTTGTGTTTATTTGGTACCTAGTAGAGGACAGTCATTGAACGTCAGTAAATTATTGCCATTGCTATACACTGTGGTCACCCCACTGATGAATCCAATAATATACAGCCTGAGGAATAAGGACTTAAAAAAAGTTATTGGAAATCTTGTCAACTTTCTAAACTTGCAATTCAGGAAAAATAAATGTTCATAAGTATTTAAAAAAATGACGAGAATATTCAGCATGTTTAACCTTCCCGGCGGTATTCCCGAGTGTAGCTCGGGGTAAAATTTCTATACCAAGAGCGGAAACCCCGTGCTACACTCGGGCTTACCATGCGGCATTGCTCTGGGGTCCCTGTAGCACTTACCTTCCTTCGCTCCCACGATGTGTCCCCTGCAGCGTCCCCGGCCATCTCCTCCGGCCGATGCCGGCATCCGGCTTCCGTGTTCCGGTCCCAGTGACGTCGGGACGTACGGGCGCCAGAACCGGTGGGAAATTTGAAATTTTTTTAAATTTTTGCTGTCATTGCTGTTTCAATGCATTTCACATATATTTTGTCCCTACTGCTTTGTCCGGCGCCCTGCCTGCATTTTGAATGTTCTTTCTGCCTGGAAACTGAGAAACGTCCATGGCGTCCAAAAAGCGTCCCTTTACGTCAAAAAGCGGTTTTAGACCGGCTAGAGAACAGCGATAGTAAATCAGAACCACTTGCAGAATTGAGTGATAATGATTTGTGGGGGAAATTCCTCATCAGACACTGAAAACGATTTTGCGACTGAGCTCAGCGATGTGTGAATTTGCTTCTGTATTTCAAATTTCAGTGTTTTTGGTTTGATTATATTATTGAATTAAATTTATTATTATTATATTATTATTTTTTATGATTATTTATTATATTATAATTTATGATTTCATGTTTCAAATTTTATCCTCCCCGGGATGTTTAATAGACTCTTGTTCGGACAGATTTCAGTGAGTGATTCCTAAAAATTACAGCCTACAATAAGAAACTACATATTTCCATGCAAAAAAATATACCGCTTTCAGCACAAAAAATCGGAAAGAATCATACCGCCGAGGAGGTTAAAGTGGAACTTTAGACAGACAATCAAGTCCTGTTAGACCACTTCATGCTGGCCCCATTTGTAGGTATAGCTGCAAAATACTAAAATAAGTGCCTATACTGTCTTGTTCAAATATTTTATTAGCATTTTAACAGGGAGGAAAAGAAAGGACAATGGAAATATACATTTCATAGACATAAAATTGCAACAATGGGCATCAATGACAACAGAGTCTTTACAAAAAAGGGGAGAGGAGGGGAATGGTGGTTTTGACAAAATACCAGTTTTAGGGGACAAAAGACGGGTAAAGCCACTAGCTTAGGTTCATACACAATTTTGATAAATAAATAGGCGCGCTCCCCAGTGTTGCATAGGAGAAGTGCCTAGACTGTCTAAAATCCAGTAATACAGTTGGGCTTATTTACTGAATCTGGAGAGTGCAAAATAAAGCTCACTTCTGCATAGAAACCAATCAAAATAAATAAAACCTGGAAGCTTATTAATTTTTACGCAGAAATTAGCCTGATCTGCACTCTCCAGCAAATAAAGCGCACTGTCTCACCCTGCTCTGCACATGCTCAGTAACTCTCTATTTATAGGCACTGTGCCAAATTTGTAGAGGCTGATTTGCTACATAGGGATTTGGGGCTTCAACAAAATGGCAGCCTCAGGCAGGTAAAATCAGGAACAACACTGGATAATTACTAATGTGGAATGCATATTCCTTTGGTAAAGAACATATTTCTTTATCAATTTGTTCTGGGTAAAGTTCTGCTTTAACTCTCATCAAATATATTGTATAATTTATTGAGAAGTATGTAACTATCTCTTTATTGATTTTTTCATATACAGTACATGTAAATGAGATCAGTTTAATGTAAACATCTTATTGTGTTTTAATGTTTTAAAAACATTAAATGTTTTAAAAACATTAAAAAGTCACAGGAGTGCAACTAGTTCTGCACTCCTGGGACCCAGATTCAGCCCAGAGAGGGCTAAAGTCCACTGTCAGTTGATGTCACAGAGCTGGTTCAGGTTTTGCAGGCATCTAGACAATAATGTAAGGATCCACCCAGATGGCTGACCGGCAACTGGTTCAGCCTCTCAGCACGCCCCTGAGACCCTGAGCCAGCAACTCCTGCCCAGGGGCGGACTGAAAACTCATGGGGCCCCCAGGCAATAGGGGATCATGGGGCCCCTGTGTCCTTGCCCAAACTCAAAAAAGCCTATGAAAAAGGTACCAGGGGCATCTCATGAGGCCCCCTACTGACCCCGGGCCCCCAGGCAGTGCCCGAGTTTCCAAATGGTCAGTCCACCCCTGCTCCTGCCCCTTGCACAGCCTGGCACTCCAGGAGAGCAGATCACTGTGCTTAGAGCAGTCCCGGGAACTGAGCAGTCAGCAGGATCACTTACATTCATGCCGATCATTATGTACTATTGTGTTGATCTCTGTGATTGGCCACAGGGATCACATGATACAGACAGGGCCAATCATAGCCCGTCTATAGAGTGTGATTAGCTGTGGCCAAATACAGATAATCACAATAGTATACACTGAATGATTGGATTTCATTCCGAAAAAATGGTTGCTTATAACAGTTATTTTCACTGTTATAAGCAATCATAGTGCGCAAAAAAAAAATCCTGATCACCTTCCCAGAGTAGTACAGTTTTAGGCCTCATGTACATATGAACTCACTTAGTCGTTAAACTATCCTGGCAGCAGAAAAATATTAAACATGGCAAAAGTGCATGTAAACGTGGTACCGTGTGTTTAGCCATGTTTAGTGCTTGGAAGTTTATTCATTTGATTGGCTAGAGTATTTTCCATTGACTTGGATAAACACCTAAGCGCTAAACGCGGCTAGAGTTTAGCAGTATTTAGCCACATTTACATGCGTTTTTTAGTGTTTTTTTGACAAAACGATTATTCTGCATTCAGGAGAAGAATGTTTAATTGCCCCTAAACACTGCTGCTCCCAAACTCTGGTAAAAGCGTATGTGTACATGAACACCTAGGCTTTTATTGAGTTGAGTTCAGGGGCTTTGACAAGCAAAAGCCAAAAGCTCCTAAACTCATGTTTAGCAGCAGAAATGTATGTGAGTCCTTACTGTGGTAACACTGAATTGCTCTGGTCACAATATGTTAAAAAAAAATCATAAAGAACGAAAAATATTTTTAAAATGTTAAAAATTATACATTTTTTATTTTACATACTGTCACCAGTCATTGCCCCTGATCACTACCAGTTATGGATACGTTGTACTACACTGGTGAAATAGTGCTAGGAACAAATTGTGTTTTTTTTTAAATTTCTGCCTTTTCCAAAAAATTGTGACAAAAACATTACAACTTCAAAAAACTCTGCATGCCTCTTACTAAATACCTCAGACTTTCTACTTTCCAAAAAGGGGTCGTTTGGAGGGTATTTGTACTGTCCTGGCATTTCTGGTCGTCAAGAAATTAGATTGGCCATCAGTACAGCAGGATTGATCGATTTTCAAATATATACCATAGTTTATAGACGCTATAACTTTCCTACAGACTAAATAATACACCCTGATTTTAGTTATTTTCACCAAAGAAATGTAGCAGAATACATGTTTGATTACATTTTTTAAAACGATTATTACATAGTATAACATTGCTGTTTCAAAGCATTTCACATACATTTTGTCCCGAGTGCTTTGTCCTGCGCTCTGCCTGCATTTTTACTGTTCTTCCTGCCTGGAAACTGGGAAATGTCCATGGCGTCCAAAAAGCGTCCCTTTAGGACAAAAGCGGTTTTAGATCAGCTAGAGAACAGCGATAGTAAATCAGAACCACTTGCAGAATTGAGTGATAATGATTCGTGGGGGAAATTCCTCATCAGACACTGAAAACGATTCTGCGACTTTGCTCAGCGATGTGCGAACTTGGCGCTCTATTTCACATCTCAGTGTTTTTGGTTTGATTATATTATTGAATTACATTTATTATTATTATATATTATTATTTTTTATAATTATTTATTAAATTATAATTTATGATTTCGTGTTTCAAATTTTATCCTCCTCGGGATGTTTACTAGACTCTTGTTCGGACAGATTTCAGTGAGTTATTCCTAAAAATGACAGGTCTACAATAAAAAAAACAACATATTTCCATGCAAAATAATGGTACCCCGCTTTCAGCACCAAAAATCTGAAATAATCATACCGCCAAGGAGGTTAAGGTAAGTTCTTCATAATGTGCTAGTGTGCGATGCATACTAGCACTTTATGACATTACCTTACAGGGGAATTTTTTTTTTTCTGGTTTACTACTGCTTTAAAGATATTAACATTCACCACAAGTGAAATAGAAATTTCAGTTCACTTTTGTATTTTTCTTTACTTTTTCAAAATTTTATAACCTGTTTAGCTATATGTTTTTACCATTCTTTTTGATTCAGTAGTATTGCCTATGGCCTCCCAGGGGCTAATCCTTTCCCCAATACTGACATAGCATGCCTTGTTCTGCACTGTGGGGAACATTTATGAACATTTTTCTTTGTTTGTGGTTGCTAATCTTTTGCTCCTTCAACTAAAACTGTTGGTTTGGTCACAAAACAGAATCAAAGATTCAGGGGCGGACTGACAACTCACGGGGCCCCCGGGCAATAGGAGATCATGGGGCCCCTGTGTCCTTGCCCACACTCAAAAAAGCCTATGAAAAAGCCAATGAAGGGTACCAGGGGCATCTCATGGGGCCCCCTACTGACCCCGGGCCCTCGGGCAGTGCCCGAGTGCTTGAATGGTCAGTCCGCCCCTGCAAAAGATTAATGCTATCATTATTGCATGCAATGTTTGATACACAAGTACATTAACCTCTTGGTGCTGGCTGAACGCAAATGTGCGGCCTCCTGGCGTCTGGGCCTAGACACCAAGCGGCCGCACATTTGCGTTCTATTAAAAAAAACATATGTGCTGAGAGCGCGCTCTCCCAGCACACATGTCCGGTACTCACGGAAAGGTCCCGATCTCCTCTTTCAATCGGGACCTTTCCCAATCATGTGACTACCGTGACAGCGTGTCATGATGGTCACATGACCGTAAACCCCGCCGCCCCGCCTCCCAGCTTCTGAAACCTTTAAAGGGCCAGGAGGCGTCGGTGCCAAGGGGTTA